TTAGGGAAACCCTAAACCTTAAACCCTAAACCTTAAACCCTAAACCTCCCCTAAACCCTAAACCCTAAAAGGTGTGGATCTTGAGATCTGGGGAGGCTGAGTTTCACAGGTTTTCATGGAAGCCGAAAGGAACTCCGAAGTGCCAGAGGCCTGAGCTGCTGATAGGACCTGTTCGCGTGAAGCTTTGCTTCCTGTACGAGAAGTAGAATCCATATGTCAACCTAAAAAGGGTTTAGGGTTTGGGGCTTAGGGTGTAAAGTTTAGGCCCTTAATAAGCTGAAACTATCTAACCAACGAGCCACAGACCATCGTAAAATGAGTCCTTGGCCGGAAAAGCCAGATCCCAAACCCACACGGGTTCCTGTTTCCACAACCTCGGCCTTCAACGCTGATCTCTGCTACCTCACCCTAGGACCGTGAGTTCTACAAAGATTCAATATAGGTCCTCGGAAGTTAGCTAGCTATGGTATCCCTTTAGGGAGTCCCTGAATACTCGTACTATGTATATACCCCGAAACCCCATTAAACTTAAGACCATTATTAGCCCAAGCTATGGTACAATCAATAGCACCCTCCTTGAACCCCAATAGGTTGTCTGATAAACGCATTATCAGCCCCCCTAGCTGAATCCTGATCGAACCCTTCTATCGCACTTCCCAACCCTCCACCCCTCAACCCCTGAATCCTACTACCTTCAAGGCTTTTAAACCCTGCACGCCCTACACCCCATTCCCTACACCCTGAACCCCGGACTGTGCAAGACCCTAAACCCCTTAAACCCTATCAGCCCCAAGCCCAAAATCCCCTTTCCTAAACCCTATAAGCTTAAAATCCCAAACCCAAACTCCCCTTTCCTAAACCCCAAACCCAAACCCAAACTCCCCTGTCCTAAACCTGCTTAAAATCCCAAACCCAAAATCCCCTTTCCTAAACCCCAAACACAAACCCAAAACCCCCTTTCCTCAACCCCAAACCCAAAAGTCCCTTTCCTAAACCCCAAACCCACAATCCCCTATCCTAAACCGCAAACCCACACCCAAAATCCCCTTTCCTCAACCCCAAACCCCAAATCCCCTTTCCTAAACCCTAAACCCAAACCCAAATCAACCCCAAACCCAAACCCAAAATCCCTTTTCCTTAACCCCAAACCCCACATCCCCCTACGTGGGTAGTTCTCTAAATTAGGGTCCCTTTTTAGGTCCCCAATACAGTACGGCACCCTTACAAAAAGGACCCTAAACGGGACCCTAATATTGAAAACTACCCACGTGAATCCAAAGCCCTAAACCCTAAACCCCAAATCAACCCCAATCCTAAACCCAAAATCCCCTTTCCTTAACCCAAACCCCACATCCCCTTACGGTCCCTTTTTAGGTCCCCAATATAGTACGGCACCCTTATAAAAAGGACCCTAAAAGGGAACCTAATATTCAAAACCATGGTTTAGGGTTTAGGGTGGAAAACCCTTAAACCCTAAACCCTAAACCCTAAACCCCTATGTGAATCCAGTGCCAGGACGAGCCGGAGGTCGCTGAGGCCATGGAAGCGCTACGCAGCGACTGCGCCGCGGCATAGGACGGAAGACTGCGTGGCCTTGCCCAATCACCTTCTTCTATGAATTAGGAGTGCATTATTATATATATATATACACATCATATATAATTATATATATATATATATACATATGTGTGTGTGTGTGTATGTGTACATACATATATGTATATATATATATATATGTAGAAGGCTAAAGAGTTAGAGCATAGACGAAGACATAAACAAGTACATAAACAAGCATTAGGTCTCTGTATGTGTTTGTGGTTCATAGTTTGGGTTTCATAGTTTGGATTTCGCGGGCTTATTGTGTTTTGTTTGGGCCCCGGGGGCTTAAAGCGTGTTTAGGGCTGTTATTGCTGTAGGTTCTGAAGGCGCACAGACGGTTGCAGCTTTCCGCGTGCACGGGATGCTTCGCTAACCCTCCACCCTCAACAGCCTGCGAATGCTGTGTTTCTAAGGACTCTCCATATTAACCCCTATAACCTACAAGGGTCCCTATTAAGGGTCCCTCCTAAAGCCCTTACAGTGTTCAGAATCCGGCACATGACAGGACTTACAGCGGCGACGACCTCGTACTCTCAATAAGGGCCGGCATGAGCTGGGAAGGCATCAGGACAGCTACGCATCGCCAGATACAAACAAAAACAAGCAGTTAATTTCATTGATCAAGGGTGCCTCGTAGGTGAAGCATACTGAGTTCACGGTTGACAGTTTTAGGGTTTGGAGGCTTGGTTCAGTGTTACTTACTCTTCGTAGCTCTCAACCCTGATGGAACAGGTCAGCTTCACACACTTTTAGGACTGTTCCTTGGCGGGTGATTCTTCAAAACTCGGTGAGTGATCCTATGAGACTCCAAGCCTCAAGAAAGTTCGGGATCGGAGTAAACAGAGACTACACATTGGTGATCTGTTCTTGGAAAAATATGACAACCGCAGGCCTCGAAGGAGGTAGCCTGAATCCCCAAGCCCCAGAAGTAATGCGAAGACGATGCAACCAGCACACCATCCGACATGCCTGAAGCTAGAGGTCTTGGCGAGGCAGCTGTCTACGAACCTGTAGGTTCAGAAGTGTCCTTCCCGGTCCTGACAAGTAGATAGCAACCGGCCCAATCGAGAGATGCCTGTTCGTCGGGAGCGGCAGTTGTGAAGAAAATGGCGCGGGAGCATCTGGATGCAGGCTTATTGGCTGAAGGAAGCTGGCAAAGGCTCTGGAAAAGACTTCCTGCAGTTGTGTACCATAGAAGCCTGAATAGTTATTCTGTGTAGTGTTGAACCCTTCCTTAGAGCTCCTTATGAACTACAACTTTAGTGTACTAGAACCCCAAAACCTATTCTTCTTTAGTCCAATGCTCTGTCGTCTAAAGACCACGAAGCTTGGAGACTCTTGCATAAGGCCAAAACCTACGTACTGCCCAAGACCTGCACTCAACCTAATATGGTGGCCTTAATAGTTACCTATACTATTTTTGGGGGGTTGCTTGTTATATTTATAGTAGAATATACCCCCAAACCCTATTCCAATTCTTATTATTAAGGCCCCCTACATTACCCTAACCCATGTATCCTCAAATCACAGAGGAACCGATCTGCATGTGCACCATGTAATCCAGTGTAATCTCATGCGAAGAAGTTACTCGAACCGTTTCGAGTCTACGTAGTCAATTTGGGTGCATCCTATAGTATCGTTATGATCACATTTTAACGGCTTGAGTGGGTTGTATGTTTCTATCTTGGTATCATCAAATGCGCAGTGGAATATAACTTAGAGGATCGGTGGACCCTAGCTGCAAAGTTTGTAGTTGGGTCCTAAATAATTACCAATACTATTTTTGGGGCTCCATATTATAGTTATGGTATAATAGGCCCCAAAACCAATTACTAAGGCCCTATCGTGGGTGGGTCCTTGTGCATAGTCGCCTGTTTGGGGCGGACTGCTTGCAGCCTGACTTGCAAAGCCCCTGGAAGAACCCTGAGATCTCCTCACCCCGTACCATGGGTTTAGGGTTTAGGGTTTAGGGTTCACCTCAAACTTTCGAAATCGGACTCTCATCATCGGACCCTGCACCCTAACCCCTGACCCTGCACCCCCAAAACCCCAGCTTCTGCCCCCAACCCTAAGCCCCTCCGAACCTTCAGCATGTGGCAGGTGTGCGCTACGCGCGAGGAGGATCCCTGGGTGGCTATGGAGCTCAGAGAACCATGCAGGCAGTCTTCAAAACATATGCAGAAGCTCAAAAAACTTAGCAGAACTATTCCCTAGGGCTCCTATTTAGATATACCCCACGGCCCTAGTCCAAGTATTAAGGCTCCTACAGCAAGGGTATCAATATTGTGGTGGAGTGGAAGCCGCAGCGAGTTCAGGTTCTTTCTTAAAGGCTGAGGTGATGCTTGGGAGGAGAAGCGATCTCAGCCGAAGATGTCAGAGAGCCTACGCCAAACCTCAGAAGCAAAGAGCTAAAGCCTTCAGCTCCGAGAGGATGCCCTCAACACCTAAGGCCCTATCTTTGAAATGCTGAGGCCCCAGCATTGAAACTCTGAACTCTATAAGCTCCACAACCCTGAGCCTTAAAACACGTTTACAAAAAAAGGCCCTAGCGACGTTGAAACCCCAAAGCCTTGGGCGCTAATCCCTGAAGCCCAGACCCTCCAATTCCTACAACCCCGACTGGCCCGGCCTTGCCACCAATCCCCTTGCCCAACTACAGGCATAAATCCTAAACCCTAAGCACCACACCCTAAACCCTGTCATTCAAACCTAAACCCCTAAACCCTGCACCGTCGCTTGTGAGGTCTTGGGAGTTCCCAAGTCCGCAGATGCTGGAGAGGCTTCGCTGAAGCAGAGAAGAAGTGTGGGAGCTGAGTATGTGATGTAGGGGCCTGAATGATTAGAATAGGGTTTTCGGGGTATATTATACGATAACTATAATAAGGAACCCCCCAAAAACCACGTTCTAATAATTAAGGCCCCGACATTAGAAGGTTTGGATTTTTGGGTTTGGAGCCTTGTGGCCCAAGGATCCCAGATCAGAACCCTCAAGGCCATTAAAAAAAACCTAAAGACCAGGGCCCTTCCGAGCCCTACTATAGGGGCCTTAATAA